TGTCTGTGATATGCACACACACGCACACAAAGTTCAATCCCTAAGTCCTTCAAACTGTGTCAGAACAGGAACTAACAAAACCTGCCATGTATGTTCCAAGCTACAATCATAGTTAAACACAGCAATAAGCATTAAAGTCATTATGTACACTGAAAGGTAGAAATACATCATACCCATTGGACAATCAAATTCCATAACATGTGACTAAGTCAATTTATATATATTATAAGGCATGATGCAAGTCAATAGAACAAGTACATACACATGAAGCCACACAAATAATGACAATCAGGTGGACGTGCTGAATGACACCAAAATCATATTTTCATAAAAAGTTTCTGTAAAAATCCTGCATCTTGAGTGCTTTATTGCACTAAGTGTTGATATTATTCATACAATTGTGCTGGAAAAGACATAAGAATGCAGCAGAGGATATTGTAGAATGATATATCAAAGAAACAGAAATACACTGGTCAGTACAAGTTGTTATAAAAGCCAGAAGATGCTCAAATACTGCGTGTCTCAAGTTCAAGTCCACGGATTCATATTGCCACTGTCTTCAACTGAATCTGAATAAGGAAAACATAGATAGTAAATTATAGCATGTCATATAAATATCAACTATATAGGAAGTGACAACCAAATAAGGATTTTGATATTGACTATTACTTGAAGTTGCATTCCACTTTGCAAATCTAAAATGTACCAACCAGTACCATATAAACCCCTAAAACTGAACTATCTAATTATTTTGCAAATTTTTGTAGTTTACTGGCTTCTAAAATGTTGACATCACAAAATTGTGCTGTTTTCAGTTCGCTAGAATTTCGTCCACCTCAGAACAACAAGATTCTAACAGCAATTACTCCTTTATCAGTCATGGTTTGAGAGAAATATGTATTCTGGAAATATGTATGTATGAAATATGTATTTTTCAAGTTTGTTTTATCGTGAAAAATAATTTTTCCTTGAACACAAGTTGATTTACCACAGTGTTCTTTCAATACTACAATGGTACTACTGAGAATTTCATGCAATAAATCTGCAAGTCTTTTCTACTTAGTCGTATTTGTAATCTGTTTTTTTTACTACAAAAGATGCCCCATTTCTGCCATCTAATGATTTTCTAATCAATAATTTTCACTCCAAAAATGTTATCAGTACAAAATTTCAAAATGTTTTGCATTCTAAAATCTTATTTAAAAGTGGTCCAAATTTTATGGTATATAAACACTATCATATGTTGAGATTATGGAATGAGTTATGAGAAATTAACGGCAGATTATGAATATAAATTTCAATTAATTTACAACTAGTAAACTAGTCTTTGTTTGTCCTTGAAGGTTGTTGGTATTTTTGTCTGATGGTAAAAATAAAACGAGCAGGAAAGTGAGGGCAAGATATCTATTTTTAATATATCATTTTTTTTATAGCTAAAACAGCATCATTTATATGATTTTTCTGGAAGTGATATTTCAAAAGTAGGAATACAACTTTAACATGATTAACATCAGTACTCACCTGCCACATGTGATGACTTACTAGCAGTAGAGCGTCTAATTTCAACTTCAGCATTACTATTAATAAGAAAAATATAAACACATAGCATTTTAGAAAAATGGTCCAATAACCAATTGTTGTAATCTGTCTTTATTTGGACATCACATGACATCACTCAATATCATATCATATGACATAACATTATGAATTGTGTTGTTGTTATGCTGAAACAGGAAACATGAAACTGATCTTGGCATAAGTTTTATATTTTAACATTTTGAATTACTAATGCTGCAATTGCATAACTCTATCATAAATGTGACTAGCTTTTAGAGAAAGTGGTTTAGATTGTAAAGTTTCAATGTCAGTTCATATCAATATGATTATGTCATGGCAATATTGCATCAATTAGATTACTGACCATATGTTGATATAATGTCAGTAGATCAAAATGTATATTATTTATATTATCGTATGGTTATTATTACTCATCCATTGTTAAAACAAATTGGTAAAAGACTGTCTGAGAAATTATGTTGGACGACAGATGCATAGACCCTGAAGTCTCCAATCAGTGTGAACAGAAAGAATTGGCTACCAACCATAAAAGGCCTCCCAAAAAGTTGTTAGTCTTAGGTTTTTTTGGAAAAAATTTGTTTTCTTCAACTACTTTAAAAATAGATCTACCTATCTATTTTTTTTATATAGCCATATCATTCCTTCATTAATTTGTAATTTATATATGAGGACACATTCTTACCTAAGTTGGCGTAAATCTTTTTTTGACCTTCGTACTGGCGTAAGATCACCTTGTCCATATTCTGAATCTCTTCCAGTGTATGGTGTTCCAAGGTCACTTCTGGCACTACTAGGAACACTGCCCTCATCACCTAATGAACACAAAGTATTATGGTTTGTTCTATATTTGTCAAGTACTACCAGTACCGTAAAATCTGTATTAGAAGCCGCATCCCTAATAGAAATCACACCCATTCTTTTTTAATAATTGAAAACTAAAAACTCATCATTTCTCATATGTGCAGACGCTTTAATAGAAGCCGCATCCCCCCTGTTACATTGTACCATTTTAATAGAAGCCGCGGTTTCTAATACTGATTTCACAGTAATATACAACATATATCATTCTGCACAATTTGAATTATAATTGAGCAGAAAGCATATTGTACACCAGAAAACAGAGATGTCACACACTAATGTGCAGTCTGTATAATATCTGATGTAAGTATGAGGTGACTGGGACAGGATTTTCTAAGAACTGATTAATAGCAAGTAAAACCAAACAATTGACATATACTAACAAAAATACAAATAAGTTATATAAAGGTTCATAAAAAAAAAAATTGGAGCCTCATACCTACATTGAATATTAATTAGATTGACTAGTGTGGTGCATAGTCCTTGATTGCATATGTAAGCCTATAGTTTCACACTGAACAAGAATATTAGAATTGATGTATGTTTGCATATGGTATTAGGGATGTCTTACCTTGACTTAGTTGTGGTATAAGGCCGCTTGTCACAACTTCTCGTAATTTCTTTTTTAATTCTCTACTTGTTTTCTTGTAATAATATAAATCTTTTTCAAGTTGTTGAATTCTGTTCTGGCTACTGAAAAACAATTATATACAGACTAAGTGAGGTACATTTGATGGCTTCTTCAAGGATTCCCTCAGCATTAACTCATGTACAAACACTACAGCACCCAACACTACCAATTGGCTTCCCTCATGTAGAAACACAACTCACCTAGCATCACCACCTGACTCTTCTGATGATTGCCCGTCCCCAATCTGCTTCATCAAAAGTTGTATTTTTTGTTCATTTTTCTTCTGCTGTTCAATGCTCCTACGATCCATCTCACTGGCGGCTTTCTGTAAAGCCCCTTCAAGTTCATGAATAAATCTCTCCTGCTCATCAATCTTCATCTAAATAAACAATAAACATGATAACTGCTGTGTGAATACAAACTAGTGAGTGATATCATACACTCAACCAGCTTTTACTATTACCACAAAATGCTGACATAATAGTATGAAATTGTCCTGGAAATACCACAAAATATGTACAAAGGCAGTAGTAGGATGATCATATCAGCTGATGCGTAGATGAGATTGATGCGACCCGTACTTTTTTTCTTGCTTTTAGTAACAACTTAATGAAAGATTATAGCCGAGATGCATTCAGTGACTGAATTTGTTAGACTGGATTTCTGTGTCCAACAACAACAACGTGTCAATGTTGGTGACGTAGTTGATTTAGTTGACAAATTTAAACGTTTGAATGAGTGCTGATACGTTTTGGAACATCTGTGGCTTTTTACAAAACAGCATATCCTATTGTTTTTGGTGCTAGATGTACAATAATACAGACTATCACATGCAAAAACCACAATTGTAATTTTACTTACCTCAAGCTCACTGCAAAGAAGGTCTTTCTTTCTCTCAGCCTCTCTCATTGCAACAACTTTCTCAAAGTATTTTGTTAACAGTACTTTGGTTTCTTTTGTTGATAATGAGTTTAGTTTTCCCATCAAATTGTCCTCATTCTGAATTATATAACAACATATCATTGATAAGGTGAGGGTGTTGTCTTACAAAAAAATACAATGCAATTTACTCCTTGACTGGAATAAGTTGCCTTCAGATTTAGGATTTTTTCATTTAAAGATTGGCTGTTGTTAGTTAGCAGTAGTCAGTAGCTAGAAATTGTATCTAGCGGACTGTTATTAGTTTGTAGCTGGTAGTAACTAGTAAATGAATAGCAGTAGGTAGTAGTTGTTGGCAGCTGTCAGTAGCCATTAGTTCGAATTTATTAGGTACTAGTTAGTAGCTAGTACTAGTTTGTAGTTATTAAACTTGTAGTGGTGTGTAGTTGATAGTAGTAGTTAGGAACAGTTAATAATTATGTGCTATGCAATACATGACCAGCTGCAGGCTAAAACCTATGAAGCCATTATGTACCATTGTTCCAATCTCAACAAGTGGGTTAAAGGGGCTGTGATTTTGGTGGGTACCTGGGTTAGATAATCAGATCGTCTTAGTTCATCTTCTTGACTCTGGAGTGTATCATTTTTAAACTCAATGGCAGCATCTACAGCCTCAATAGCTTCATCTAACTCTATCAACCTGAATCAAATACAAATACCACAATGATATCAAAAACAAACACTGAGCATTTATATAAAATGTACAGAAGATAATAGTTTATGTAATGATAAAGCATAATGATAATTATTAGGATATTTGCTTCCTAATTTTTTTTTGTCTCTAATGTCAACAAACAATAGGTGATTTTTCATCTTGTTTATTGCGCATTAGGGACAGATTGAATGTCTGATGCAAAACTCAAATGATTGATTTGATTTTCAATTTGGATTTTCTTTTTTTTATAGCTCAATGTCGATTTTCCAGAGGGGAATATGGCATTGAGATACCCTTACTATCAAAATTGACCATCACCAAATGTGTATAGCATATTATTAAGTGAAAAAATACCCCAAAATACTTTGGCGTTTATCAAATACCATGTGATGTTTTGACGCAACTACATCGCTATGTATGTTCTGTTTTTATGTTCCATTTCACACATAATGTTGGGATCCTCCAGCGAACAGAAAATAGTCTAATATACCTTCTTTCCTCGGTTGGAGAGAGTAAACTACCCTCATGAAGTTTCTCATCGAGAACCAATCTTTGCTTGCAAAGCCTATCCCTGAAATAAGGAAAATGTACAAAAACTGTCATGAATGAAATCAAAACAATGCGTCATTGTTAAAAGCCAATTGTTTTATCACCAACTAAGTTTATGGTTTGTCTACAATGTTGCATAATTTGATAACCATTGAAGCAATTTTATAAATTTCCAGAAATCCCTAAAAAACCAATAACATATAAGTTTATAACTACATTGTATTTGTGATGACATTGATGTGAAGTTCTCGTAACGACTATAATTAAATTAACATATGATAGAAGTATGATTTAAATGTAATAATATAGTTTAATTGTTGCTATTAAATATTTTCATGATTTAAAATAATTTTAAATAATTTTATGACATTTGCGAAAGACACTGAAAATCTATGTCGTAGGACCCCAGTGACAATTTGGCTGCTACAAAATTACAGGACAGATTTGTCGCACACAAAATTAAAGCCGCTTAAAGTATTGACAGTGACTGAGAGTGTGAGCAGTAATATATTTACCTGTCCTTTTCAAGTTCCATAACATCTGTTGCTAACTGGTCTTTCTGTACATCCATACTTTGCCTGAGTTCAATACTTTTGTCTTCAATTTTCTTCTCAACGATGTTTATTTTATTTGCAAGACCAAGGATGTCCTGATGATGTAAGATGATAGATCATTATATCGACAGATAAAACCAATGATGCACAATGTTGCCATTATCAGCCAAAATTGTCAGTCACATAAAAATTGAACTGAACCAAATACATACGTCAATTGATAACATGTTTTAGAAAGATTGGCTATAAATTACTTGAGTTAGCCTAGCCACAAGAAAGTTTAAATGACGACGACGCCGCCGACAACAACAAAGACAGACAGACATGGTAATTCCTATACTTTGCCATTTCATATGATTACAAGGAAAGCAATGCTATAGTAGTAAATGACTTATCTATTTAGTAATGGCAAAGATTTATGAGGTAAGGGTATACCCTGTACGTTGATATACAACGAAGATCACTTTCTGTGCTAATTACACTGTTGTTTCTTATGTTGATGTTGATGCTTTGTGTGGTTGCTATGGAAATGGTTTTGGTTGCTAAAAACAATTCTAACTGAGCTCCAATTTGTTGCACTGCCACATTTATAAGTTTGCATAGAATCAAGTTTATGCATATTAATGAGCTCACCCCATAACATGGTTTTGTTTTATTACTCACTTTTGAAAGTACTTGACTTGATCGCAGTTTCTTTATTTCTAATTCACTTTTTTCTTTCAAAATAGATTCTTTTTTTTTAATAATCTCTTCTCGTTTTATCAGCTCCTAAAAAAAATAATAAAAAAAAAAAAATTAGAAAGAACTCCTGTGTGCTGTAAGTTATTTGAGACAAATTGATTGATTATAAAAGAAATTGATTGAGATTGATTAAAATTATTATAAGTACAAATGTAACCATTTTAATGTCAAAAATGGTCCCTGCCTGAGAATCAATTGTTGATATGTTCAAATGTTGTTTTTCAAAGAAATTGGCTGCCTGTCGGCCATTGACTATTAAGGAAATGAAAAAAAAAAAAAAATCAACATGCATATTTCTTGTTCTTGTACCAACTTTGAACCATAATTGCCCAGGCATGTCGGCAAATGATGTCTGACGAATGTAATCCGAATTCCTATTTCAGACAGCGACTTAATAAATGTAAATAAACTAAGAACAAATTTTCACCTCTTCAAATTCTTCAATTTTTCTTTTTCTCTCTAAAACTCTTTCAACTTCATTATCTAACCATTTTCTTTGCTCGTCCAATTTATGTTGATCCTCACCAACCATCTGAGCACTGCCTTGTCGAAGTTTCCTCTGTGCTGCTGCAACCTAGACAAGAGAAAATGTTATGGGATACATAGTATTTTGAAACTTCACAGCTTAATGCTAATAAAGTCATTTGGAATATCTAGCTGACTCTGAATATAATATCACATAATCATATTGTTTTATTCATAGAATTTGATAAGGGTTTATATCAATGGTGATTTCTATAACATATCTTATGAAGTACATATATGCCCAGCTCACCAAAATTTGGTGGAAATTTTACACAAATTAAGTTTGAAGGGAATCACATAACAGATTATTGACAACAATAGAATTTAGTGCCGGTATAATTTTTTTTCTATTTCATTGAAGGCAAAGCAAAAACGACACACATAATATAAATGTATGTATGTACCTGGTACTTACTGTTAAATGAGTAATTTTTTACTGGGTTTCAATTTCGCTTATTTATCATTACAGGCATATTCAGTGGGTTTTAAATTCACGGTTTTATCATTTAGATAATGTGTTCTATGTTAAATTTTACATAATCACTGGGTTTATAATTTAGCGCATTTTCCAGTCAGCGAAATAAGCAAAATTAAAACCCAGTGAATAATTAACCCCTTTACAGTACATCATACTATGATTTTGTGCCAGGTACAAAGCAGATCAGTCAATGTTACGAGATGGAATGGATGGAAGGATAGTAATAATAATATGATAATATATTGTTTGAGTTTTTGTATAAAACATGTATTGATCACACTTAGCCTTAGTCAGGATAAGATGAATGTCAATCCTATTATTCATCTAGGGATGAACCACATAACAAATTATGTGCGTACATTTCCAATGAATTTTACTGATTCATTTCAGTGATTAAATGTTCAACTGTCAATTTGCCAAAAAACTATTCACAACTCACCTCTTCAGTTTTTCGCTTCAGTATCTTCTGTTGTTGTTCATTTCGTATTTCTAGTTCTTTCATTCTCTGTTGATCTCTTTGCATTTCCCTCTACAAATTGAATTAGAAATAGGGATGAATAAAGTATAAACATTTCCTTCTGATGAGAGATGGGGAGGTGAACG